AGCACTGGATAGGCCCAGTGATTTAGCTCAATGGATAAATCCACACCCTGCAAGCACCAGGATCCCAGACTGACACCAGTTACTATTCCAGATGCTCCATTCTTCCACCTAGGTCCCTGCTTGTGGCATGGGAAAGCAGTAGAGGATGGCCTAAAGCCTTGGGATCCCACACTCATGTGGTAGACCCAGAAGAAGTTTCTGGGTCCTGGCTTCTGATCAGTTCAGCTCTGGGTGTTATAGCCATTTGGACAGTGAACTAGTAGATGGAAAACTTTTCTGCTGCCTTCTCTGCACGAATCTGATCTGCTTTTCCAATAAAAAAAGAAATAAGTAAATCTTAAAAAAAAAAAAAAAAGCGCTGGCAACTTTTAAGCACAGTGCTTCCCAGCTGATCTCCGGAACTTGACTTACAGAACTGACTTCATGCTGGACTATCAGTAACTCCTCATCACTCCCAAACTCCTGATATCATACAACCGCCATTCTCAAGTCCCGTAAGTTGGAGCGAGTTAGATGCCTTGTGTAAGGGAACTCATGAAGTATTCGTTCTTCTGCAACTGATCTCATTTAGAGAATGTTCTCTAGGTTCATCCATTATATCTCTCATTACACATGTACTATGTTAAGGCAGGATAGCATGCAATTGTGTGGAAGTTAGCGTTTGGGCTCTGCACTATGGCAAAACAGGTAGTCACCACCTGCAGCGCTGGCTTCTTTCCTGGTCGTACCTTCTCCAGTAATGCTTTCTGCTGACATAACTAGGAAAAAGCAATGAAATAGGGTCTAATTGTTTTGTCCTTGCCATTCACGTGAGAGGCCTGGAAAAGTTTTGGCCTAACCCAGCCTCAGCCATGCCAGGCACCTGGAGAGTGACCCAGCAGGTGGAAGGTCTCTCTTGTTCTCTCTTGTTTTCCTCTGTTTATTTCAAATTAAAACATGAACCTTGAAAAAAAGGAGGAAGATTGTGGAGAAACAATCTTAGAATGTCTGTATTTCACTTTGAAAAATTTTGGACTGCTGAATGTATGAATAATTTTTATAATACACAGTGTCTGTAAGCATTTTTAAGACCCCTTCAATTGATCACATTTTACTTCTCATCATTCATCAGTCAGTGGATTATTATGTGGTTTCCCTATTTCCATACATGTTAGACACACATGAGAACAGTAGCACATCATTGAAATTGCAGTACAAGAGTGTTTGATTAAATACTTCAGTAGGATTGCTGGAGAGCAGAAGAGCCAAGCAAACAAACAAAATCATAATTGAATATACATTGTTACTGACAATTAGTGGATAGCCTCTTGGTAGTTCATTAAACTTTCAAATGATTTAGTGATAATCAACCAAATGGCTGGCATTTCCTTGGGGAGAGTCCCAGAAACTGAAAAAAAAAAATCATAAATTGACCTCAACAAGTGCCATGCTGAGGAACAGCTGGGAGAGTCGAGAAAGAGATTGCATGACAGGTAACAGATGGATATTTCGTGTGATGCCATTATGTCACCAGTAACAACAATATTTCAGTGACATTTTCAAAAAATTGTCTTGGATAGCAGAGGTGTGCTAAAATGTGATTCTTTCCAATTGTGTTTGTATGCTGTCTTCTACTTTCTAAGTTCTAACCTAAGGACTTATACATTTTCATATATATATGCACATGAGAGGTTAAACATCTGTGAGGATCTTTTAAACACATACTTCGTGCATGCTTACAAAATTTAATACACCCTGGTCAAAGTAAACATTTCGTTACCTTTTATGAAAATTAATCCCTATCAAGAGGACTTTATTTTTCAGCCTTTTATTGTGACAAACCAAAACAAAACAAGCACGATTTCACTGTTTCTTATTGCATTCTCCAGTTATATTTTTTCATATTTCTTTTTCAACTTCTTAAAAAATTATTTTGGAAATCAGAGTTAGAGAGCGAGACACAGAGAAGTCATCCAAGATCTAGCTCAGTCTCCAGATAATCTCAATGGCCAGAACAGGGCCAGGTAATACCAGGAACCATGAGCATTATGTTGGTCTTCCAATTCCCACATTATTAACAGCTGTTGAATTAGAAGTGGAGTGGCCGAGACAGGAGCCAGCAACAGCGTGGGCTCCCCATTGTGGATGGCATCATTACCCACTGCATCACAAGTTGGCCCCGCATATTTTTTTTTACTTTGCTAATAAAATAAAGGTGTTTGCATGGGAACCAGGAAGAACATCTGGTAATTGGCAACCTTAGGCACAGTATTTTCAAAGTTGAATGCAAATTATATGGATCAGCTGTACAAATAATGCTGTAAAATCATGTGCTTTTATTTGTTTATTTTAGCTCATTCAGAGACTTTATCAGCAAGATTTGTCTGTGAAGAGAGCTTTTCTATTTTGTTCACGGTTTTTTATAACAGTGATTAAATGTCTTATTTATCATGCTATCCATGTGCTATGAAGCGAAACATTCTAGCATTTGAGTTACTTGATATACTCAGCTATACCTTCTTTTTTTTTATCTCTTGCATTAAATGTTAATTAGGTTGGGTAACTTAAACAATGTTGAGATTGCATATTCTGAGTTTACATCATAGTCACAGGCTGAATGCTCCAGGAAATAAGTGCAACAAACAAGAAACAACAATACCATAGATGACCAGGAATATGGCTGTTAGGTTATAACAATAATGAAGTGTAAAAATATATGTTTCATTCATGTGCAGGTAATTTTAAAATATCCAAAGATTATTTAAAGTTTTGATTTTAACCCCTAAAAGGGTTGTAACTCACATTCAAGCATCATCTTTAGTGCTTCTCATCTAGTTTCTAAAGCACTTTGGCTTGAAAAAGCAAAACCTTTTAAGAAAATTTATGATATTCATTATAAAAGCTTTAAATATTTCCCTCTAAAATATAATATTCTCCATTAAGATGGAGATTTTTATTAGTCTTGAATCAATATATCTGTTACATAAGGCAAATATATCTCGATTATAATGAAAAATTGACTAAGATGAGTGCCTCAGCTGAATAAGTTAAATATTAAAATATTTGTGAACACATAATACAGTACAGTTGTACTTTGTCCAATTTTAGTTGTGAGGTATGAAATGGGATAAAATGCATTTTTTTCTGCTCACAGATTGGGAAAGAAGTTAAAGCTCACATGAAAAGAATGTGCATTCTGATTTGTAAAAACATGCCTCTCAAGTAAGCTATTGTGACTATTAAAAAAAGACAAAATATTCTATATAAAATCTTTGAATGTATTTCAGGTAGAATGGACACAGAGTATTGTTTAACCATCAATTATCCTTCCCCAAAGTGCTTCATGTTCATTTTTGCTTTGTAAATGAGAAAAAATCAGATGATGCTCCTAATGTAAATTGCATACACCGTAACACAAAATAGAGCAGAGAGACTGGCACAGTGGCTCAGTGGCTAAATCCTGGCCTAAGTGCGCAGGTTCATGTCCCAGCTGCTCCACTTCACATTTAGTTCCCTGCTTGTGGCCTGGGAAAACAGTCGATGGCCCGAAGCTTTGGGACCCTATACCCACGTGGGAAACCCAGAAGAGGCTCCTGTCTCCTGGCTTTGTGTTTGGCTCAGTTCCGGCCACTGTGGCCACTTGCGGAATGAACCAGTGGATGGAAAATCTTTCTCTCTGTCTCTCCTTCTCTCTGGAAAATTTGCATTTCCAATAAAAATAAATAAATCTTTAAAAAAAGAGCATAAATCTAGTACATATATCTCCTGAGTTGTTTCCACATATGTCCTCAATATCCAGTGTGATATTTTACAGATATTTGTTCTTCTGTCCAAATTCTATCACATCTGTTTGTTTTGACTGTTTACATTTAAATACAAGGGTTTCCTAGGATATACACTGAGGCCAGGGATAATATGCATTTTTGGAAAACCTAGTAAAATTTTTACATGCAACTTACATATATAATGAAATTATACTATATTTAATTTCTAAATTTACTTTGTCATTAAGATTATATGAACAGGGCTTGGTGCGGTAGCCTAGCAGCTGAAGTCTTCACCTTGCATGTGCCAGGATCCCATATGGGTGCTTGTTCTGTCCCTGTGGCCCCGCTTCCCATCCAGTTCTCTGCCAGTGGCCTGGGAAAGCAATTGAGGACGGCCCAAAGTCCTGGCTCCTGGCTTCGAATTGACTCAGCTCTGGCTGTTGAGGCCACTTGAATCATTGGATGTAAGATGCTCCTCTCTGTCTCTCTTCTCTGTTTATCTGACTTTCCAAAAAAAAATAAAATACAACCTTTATATAAACCACAGATACAAAACTTAATTAGTAGAGCTGCTTACTTATTGAATACCCAAAGCTTTAATAATGTTAGAAATAATAAAAAGAAAATTATTTTCACTGTGACCTAATATTCAAAAGAACATAAAAAAAGCTCTGGAAAACTGAAATATATTGGGAAGTTTTGAATTCCTGGTGCAATATTTTTACATAGTACATTTCCATAAATTGTAAACACCACATATTTGCATATCATTCCCCATTTACTCAAATTTCATGAATGTTGCATTTATATTTGCATCTATGTATGTATAAATAGGCATTTTATCTACATTAGCTATTCTTTCTGAATTTCTAGATGGTGGCACTATAGATATTTTTGACTAAATATTATAGTGGACTTTATCTGGTATATATTGAAATATACATCAGCATAATGGGTATTTAATCATTAGACAATATATCAATCCAAATATCAGTTATAAAAGCCAGAGTATCTTTAGATGGTAACATTTTTTAAAATGACCTCAGTTAAAAACTCCTCGTCTATTTCTTTCACTGTCTATTTACTCATGTTTTATATGTGGCGATGGGTTTATTTTTAATTACTCATAATTGCAAAGTTTAGATGTGTCTCATTTTCACTAATTTTGCATGATGAGTATGTTAGATGAAAATATTTGAAATCTCCTGACTTCATTGATGTCTTTACCCAGAACAGCTTTTCTGATCAACTAGGATGGAAAAATGCAATTTCACGGTGGTGAAAGAATTCATTCTGCTGGGAATCACAGATCGCCCCGAGCTCCAGGCTCCACTGTTTGCATTATTCCTGCTCATCTACCTCATGTCAGCAGTGGGCAATCTGGGCATGATCCTCCTCACCAGGATGGATGACAGGCTACAAACACCCATGTACTTTTTTCTCAGACACCTGGCTATTACAGATCTCGGCTATTCCACAGTTGTGGGACCCAAAATGTTAGTGAACTTTGTTGTGGAGCAAAACACAATCTCCTATAATTTTTGTGCTATACAGCTCTCCTTCTTTCTTGTATTTATTATCAGTGAGCTATTCATTTTGTCAGCCATGTCCTATGACCGTTACGTGGCCATCTGTAAGCCACTGCTCTACACTGTCATCATGTCACAAAAGATATGTCAGGTGTTGGTAGGAATCCCCTACCTTTATTGTACATTTGTGTCTCTTCTTGTCACCACCAAGATTTTCACTTTAACCTTCTGTGGCTACAATGTAATCAGTCATTTCTACTGTGATAGTCTCCCTTTGTTATCTTTGCTCTGCTCAAACACACATGAGATTGAAATGATTATTCTAGTCTTAGCAGCTTTTAATTTAGTTTCCTCTCTTCTGGTGGTTCTTGTCTCTTACTCCCTCATACTTGTTGCTGTTCTCAGGATGAAATCGCCTGAGGGCAGACACAAGGCTTTCTCCACTTGTGGATCCCACCTGACTGTGGTCACAGTGTTCTACGGGACTTTAATATTTATGTATGTGCAGCCCAAGTCCAATCATTCTTTTGATACTGATAAAGTAGCTTCTATATTTTACACACTGGTTATTCCCATGTTGAATCCCTTGATCTATAGCTTGAGGAACAAGGATGTAAAATGTGCTCTACAAAGGACATTCAAAAAAGTATGTGGCGCTGTTTACTGAAGTTCACGATGAACAGGAACCTTGGAAGTTATCTCTGGGTGTCAACTGACTCTATTCTACACACTGGTGCACATACTGACAAATACATATAAATATTTACCTTCTAAGTACTACTCAAAATCCTATCAATTGCAAATACATTACTGAACACAAGGGTATCTTTTTTCTTACTTTTATAAACACAACCACTGAGAAAGTTTTATGGTACAGTAACCTGTATCTGGGGACCATCAATTGTAAGAGCGGACAAAGAGACTAGACGTGCTGTAAATGAGTGAGGAAAAAAAATATTACAAGATGTAGATAATAAATTCAGGGTGGTGTGATGATGTAAAGAATTGAGCAGATGAATTGGGCAAATGCCTCTGCTCCACGTGTAAGGATCTGCGAGGCCTCTTCCATGGTCCACACTGTGAACACAAGTTTTTGACAAGTTAGCAGTCTGCAGTTTTAGTGCGGCATGTCAGTAATTAAATCTACACCAGGCCATCTGTGGGTAGGTCATTTAAGATAAAATTCTTAATGTCTGATGTGAGACCCTCAAAGGCCTTGTGAATTTTTCATATCTAATCTTGATTCTCTGTAGCCAACTGTTGCCCAATGGATCATTGCTCCTTAAGGAAGAATGAATATTTTTATTTCAAGCTGTGTTTTATTGACGTAATGGACCCTTGCACAAGATACATACATTATAATGAGGCAGGTGTGTTGCCCCACTTTCTCGTGACTGTCTTCCTATTTGGTTCAATTATCGGTATACTGTCTTCTAGTTAAGTTAGTTCTTTAACTACGTCTCTCTGATATTTTTACTAGGAGGAAGTAGAGATAACAGAGCTATTTAAATCCTTGCATATTTCTAGTGAGGATGTACTCTCTTTATAACCCCTTCTATTTCCCTCCAAATTTACCTCATTGTTTTCATTATTTAATACTCATGGGACTTCAGTTATTTCATAGAAACATTTGTTTGCTTTCTTAGTAAATTGTATTGACAATGTATTAGAAATAAATCATTTCAATTGAAGAATAAAATATGTGTATTTGTGTGTATGTGTATTTTAAAGCATTTTTAAAATTCCTAGAAAGTGAATTTTGAACAGACATAAGGTGAAATGCTAGCATTGGTTTCTGATTGCATTTATTTAATGAAATGTTTGAGATTATATAATTTCTAATTATCTTGGTTATCTTCCAGTTTATCCTCAGTAAATAATTACTACTTTTATGTCAGAGAAATGAAAACACTTTTAAGACACAAAGTTTAAAAGACAAAAATATGAGTACATGTGACCACATACTCCACCTCTAAAATTAACAGCTGTGTTGCTATAATCCCTCAAACAACAAAACAGTAATAGGACAAGAATTGAGCTGAGGCTTAAAATTTGAAAACTGCTTTGTCCATTCTAAATGTCCATCTCTATTCCACCATTATGTCATGCATGTTGTATTTTTCAATAGTATAGAAAACTTTTAAGAATGAAGAAATATTGGGCCCGGCGGCATGGCCTAGTGGCTAAAGTCCTCACCTTGAACACCCGGGATCCCATATGGGGGCCGGTTCTAATCCCGGCTGCTCCACTTCCCATCCAGCTCCCTGTTTGTGGCCTGGGAAAGCAGTCAAGGATGGCCCAAAGCCTTGGGACCCTGCACCCGCATGGGAGACCCGGAAGAGGTTCCTGATTCCCTGCTTCGGTTTGGCGCAGCATTGGCCATTGCGCTCACTTGGGGAGTGAATCATCGGATGGAAGATTTTCCTCTCTGTCTCTTCTCTCTGTATATCTGACTTTGTAATAAAAATAAATCTTTAAAAAATTTTAAAAAAAGAATCAAGAAATATTACTGAATCAAAATGTTTGCTAGAGAGTATGGGTCAATAGAACTTAGTACGACAAAGCTTTCAGGGATAAAGGAGCAGTTTTCTACATTACTTTTTCAGGATCCTAAACGTGAGGTGTATTTTTTAACTGTCCTAGGAGTACTACTGTGATAAGAAGAACTATAAAGCCATAGAATATACAGAAATTCCAATCTAACAGTTTTTTTTTTTTTTTAATTCTAACAGGTATTTATCTGACTTGGCAGTCAGTGTTGCGGGAGGTAGGGTTGGGTAGGGAGAGAGATCTGCCATCTCTTTTGTCACTCTCAAAATGATTGCAAATGCCTAGAGCTGGAATGACCCAAAAACTGGAGCCAGGAGCTTCTTTCAGATCTCCTATGTAGGTGTCGGGTCCCACGGACTCAGGCCAGTCTCTGCTGCTTTCCCAATTCATACAGGAGCTGGATTGCAAGTGGGGCAGCCAGGACACAAACTAATACCCATATGGAGTGCTGGCGCCACATCCCATCAGATGATGCCTGAGATCCATACACTAGCTATGCCTACAACCAATAATACAACATGTAGGGATAAAAGCAGGGTTTTATGTCAGCTTTAAAATTCAAATTCAATTAATTTCATTCACAAAATTTAGAAACTAAAATGGGCAAAAAGTATATGCATCTCAACAGACACAACATCATACCATTTTAAAGCTTCAATATGTATTAGTGACAAAAGCTTTAGCTAAACTAATTAGTTAATTAGGTAATAACTAGTTAATAGGGCCTGTGTAGAGCAGGTAATAATCTCAATTTCCACCCAAAGAGATATTACAGGAATCATATTTTTCCTGCAAAGTGTCTTCATGCTTGACTTTAAAGGATTAGAAGTTGGGGCTCTCTTGGCGGTATGCTCCTGCTGCTCTGGCGTTCTGACTCTTGGCTTTCCCAGGACAGAAAGCTCGTGGCTGACTGAGTAGCATCCTAGGATGACCGTGGCCACATCCTTGCGATCCTGTATTTTTGGGCACATTCACTGACTGTGATGGACGCAGGAGGGAAGCAGACACAGTGGTGTGGTGTTGTGGTAACAGGTGCCTCAGGGGCATTCAATGAGCTACCTGTCTGGACTCCAATGGCAGCCAGGGCTCCACCAGCAACAGGGTGGGAGGGAACATTTGCTGGGAGCTCAGCAGTTAGGCTTGGAGGCAGAACCGCACGATCTGCTGGTCTGTTTGATTTGGCCGGGAGCAGGGACCGAGCAGTGGATCCCAGACAGGCAGTGCGGGAGCAGGATGGATTTCATGGCCCAGTCTGCCCCCTGGGGCTGGGTTGGGCACTATTTTGTACGGTGTGAAAAGCTTTGAAACTGCAGGGACAGCAGTGAGCTGCGTGTGTGCTGGACTGGGACTGAGTTCACTGGACTCAGTGCATTGCAGTGGTCCCATGGGAGGTTAGTACTGACTTTGGCATTGTACAGGTCAGGGTGGGTCCGTGTGGCCCTTGGACCTGGTGGACCGTGGGTTCTGGTGGATCAGTGCCAAGAACAACTTGGCTATGTGGGACACCTGGTGTCTCCCTGGCCCTGAGACCTGCTCCAAGCAGATGGGAGGGGATTGTGCAGACAGCGGTGCAGCCTCAGCAAGGTGTCACAGGAGATGGAGAGTCAGGAGTTGGGGCTGAGGAGATTGTGGTGGAGGTCTAAACTGGGAACCCAGACCTGAAACTCACTGGAGGGAGTGGCACGGGTGACTGTGAACTGAGAGCCATGTACCAATTGCAGTAAGTGGGGTTGGACTGTTGACCTGTGGGTGACAGAGCTTAAAGGCCTGCTCCAAGGAGAAGAATCTAATAAGCAGAAGTACAATGACCAAGAGTGGAAGAGACAGTGGCACAGTGAATATTGCTGAAGACTCCTCTGCAAAGGAGCAAAGCCCTTCGCCAACCTCAGAGTTAACTGAGGAAGACATCGAGAAAAAGGGGGATACTGAATTTAAAGTGCTTGTTATAAAGCTTCTTATCAACAATGAGAAATACATAAAGCAGGCATTCAAGGAATTTAAGGAATCTGTTACAGAGCAAATAACAGCAGTGAATCAAAGGAAAGCTGATATATCAGAAATGAAGAATATGGTGGAGCAAACTAGAAGTACAGTGGAGAGTTGGGGAAGGATGTGGGAAATCCCAGGGCCTATGGAACTGTATCATAAAATGATAATCCTACTAATGATAGTGAAGGCTATGAGTACTGTTGTCCCTACAGGTCTGTGCGTGCATGTGGATGTATATGGACTGGGAGGATTGCAGGATTTACTGTAATAATGGACCTGAAACTGAACTGTAAATTATAAGCATTTTGTTCTTAAAGGTTTCTAAGGTTTGCAAGCTTAAAATAATCACAAATCCATGTAATAACACAAACAAGCCATGGCCAAGTGGTGGCTCAAAAGGTTAGTCCTCCCCCAAAGTGGCTCCAGGATCCCATATGTCCCTGCTGCTCTACTTCCTAAGCATCTGTGTTGGTGGCCTGGAAAGGAAGTGGAAGATGGCTCAAGGCCTTGGGCTCAGCACCCACGTCGGAGACTTGCAGGAAGCTCTTCACTCCCTGCCTGTGGCTTTGTCAGCTCCCGCACGGCGGGCACTTGGGGAGTGAACCAGGGTATGGAAGATCTCTGTCTCTACTTCTCCATGTAAACCTGCCTTTCAAATAAAAGTGAATAAATAATTTTTGGAAAAAGGAAAAAAGGCAAAAACGATGAAAAGTAAATATGATGGTTCATCTTTTGACTTAACAATTTATAGTTAAAACACACAAGAGCAATGTACAAAGTATGCAGACAAGCTATAACATTTAAAAAACAGCTTATGTGAATATATCTTACAAAATCAAGAAATAATTTGATCTGAATTAACGTATTCTAAAACCAAGCTGAGTAGAAAAATGAATTAAAAAATTATGCATTCAGTGACTCAAACATTACTTTCAAATATCTATAAAAACATACTGCTTATATAATTTACATATACGTGAACCTATATACATGTGTACATATTATATGTACATATATATAAAATTGATAACTATATAATTTTAGATGCAGTCAATAACAACTTTACATTTACCTTCAATATGAAAATAACTTAGTATGGTAAAAGCAAGGATTAGTGAGACTAAGAGG